GGGGGCTCGTGGCGGACCTTCCTCGAAAAGGTCGTGTCAGGGCTCGGGGGTTCATTCCGTCGTGGTAGGCCAGTGGTGTCAGATTCAGGGCAGGCGCAGCCTTTGGTTCCTTCTGTTTCTGTTCGGCGTGGGGATCGCCCTGTATGCCACTTGGGTTCTGGTTAGATGCATCGGCCCTAAAAGCAGTTCGTCCCATTGATGGGGTGATAGGCTTGTTCTGTTTGCTTGCGCCTCGTCTCACGATTCGTGGGCTTTTCGGGTCGTTTCGTGTGGCCTGTGGTGGTGCTGGGTGGCTCCTCCTCCCTCGCGGGGCTTAGGGCTTGCGGGGCAAGCCTCTTCTGCGCTATGTCAAGTCATCTCGTAGTGGGTTCGCTTGGGCGTGGTTGAAATGACCTTGTCCCTCAGGTGGGTTTCCCGCCCGTTTCTGGTCTCGAAACGGGACTGCGCAGACCTCCGGTTCGATCTCCTCCGGTTCGGAACCAGAAAAGCTGGCTTCGCCGGCTGTTCTGGTTCCTTCAGGGATGTCCCTACCGCCTCTCTTGTGATCGCTGGGTTCGACCCCCAGGGGCCTTACGTCGGCTGCTGCGTCACCGACTTCCTCTTCGTTTTTTTGGGGGGGTTCAGTGCCTTGGCGCCTATCTGAGCCTTCGCTAGATGTGTTCACAGACGTGTCGGCTGGGGCATTGTGACCAGTGCTCACTAGGCCGCCCAGGGGCAGTGGAGTCAATCTCTGTCTGGCTCACAGCACTGTGCAGGAGTTTGCGGCGATGTTGATGTCGCTCCGGAGGGTTCGGGTCGCTCGCGGAATGGCAATCAGGCTTCATTCGGACTGCTCTCTGGTGTGTGGGGAACTCTGGTTCTAGATTATACGCTAATAAAATAATGTATAATTCTAATATGCTTGAAGGACCAGAATTCTATTCTAAATGAGAGAACCAATGGCTTATGGATCTCTATGATTAAATACAATTAAATTCTAATAAATACAACAATCCTATTAATATATAATAAGTGAACTGTAGATTCTATAAATTCTAAAGCCTCTTCCCATAACACATTTTGGGGGGTTATTCTATAAAGTTAATTTATATAATGTAAGTAATGTATAATGAATTCAATGTTGATAATAATAAACAAATGAAGGTTGTAGGGTTAGTAGGCTACTCTACTATTGATTAATTTTTCAGCTTAGCTGGACTGAAGATCTCCTCCTACCCCAGCATAACACGAGAGTAGTCATCAGGTAATTTCAGCAGTAAAGGTTGACTCCAGGTCACTGCGTCCTGTATTCTAACCTTGAACTCCGTGTTGGAACCAGTAGATCCTCTTTCACATCGCCAACGTAGATCTGCCAGGGTAATACAAAATACCAAATGCAACAGCCTACTATATTAGCAGTATGGTACAGGAAATAATACCTAATGAAAGGGAGAGAGGCTTACTGGGGTTTGATGGTATATATATGCCTCATAGCCCGGTTGAAATTTCAATGTTACGAGCTCTTAACAAATGAAATGAAAGCTATACAACTGGGATACGTCTTTGGAGACTGCGGCAACTGGATATGCAGAGATCCGTTCAACGGCCTGACTCTGCTGCTCAACTTGCACTTCTGTGTGAGACAATTCTGTGGCTATAAGCACAAATATGGTGCTTTTCTGGGAGCAAGGCGTCAGCTATGTTATCGGAAGCTCAACCACAATTGCGTGGTGGGGCCCACTACTCCTCTCACTTGCTGATAATCACGGCACAAATTTTTGGTGCAAATTTATTATTGAAAGGAGGCAAATGCAAATTTATTCTTCTCGATTACTATGAACATTAGTTAAACCATATCTTAGATAATCAAATGCAAATGAAAGCAGATTGACAACAGAGTTTCTATAAAGTGCTAATCAAAAAAATAGTCACCACGAACATGTGGTGATTATTCCTAGCATGTTCAAGAACTTCGGTTAGTATGGGGGCTGGAAATTTCCAACACGGTGGTTCATTGCCTGCACCGAGGGGGTTCGATGCAGTCCTTGGCTCTTTGGAGCTGGTTGCTTTGGGTGACTTCTGAGTTCTCAGGGTTTGGCTCTCCTGGCGGTTCACGTTCGGGGGTGGGGGGTGGGGGTGTGTCCAATGTCTTGGACTGCCCCTCACGGTTCATTCCACTGTCCACAGAATAGACGGTCAACACCAGCTTGTTCAGTTGGCTCTGCCAGACGTTCGGGCGTCCAGAAGTGGATCTCTTCACGTTGGCGCGGTCGATGCGTCTTCCGGTATACGTGGCGCCCTTACCCGACTGCGAGGCCGTAGGGGTCGATGCCTTTCGGCTGGACTGGACGACATGGGGTTACCTATAACTTTTTCCCCAAGTTCAGCTGTTGCTCCAAGTCCTGGCTCGCTTTGAGACTTACAGGGAAGGGTTTGCCTTCTGGTTCCTTGGTGGCCGGCCCAGCCTTGGTTTCAGGCGCTGCTTGCTTTGTGTCTGAACCCGAGGGTCTTCCCACGCCTCCGCCTCTTTCAGCAGGTCGGTCCAGCCCGGTACAAGTTTGGTTCGGTCTTCTCCTCGTGTCTTCGCTTTTGGAGTTTTTGACTCTAGTTTATCATCACTTGTATGGTGTGCAGGTGGCTTCGTTGTTGGTCTCCCACCTGCATGCTTTGTCTCGGCGACAGTATGAAATTTCATGGCGGTCCTTCCAGTTTTTCCTATCACTGCATAGGTATCCTTCGGTCTCTAATAGGATTGCTTTGTCCTTTGCCTCTTGGTTGTTCCAGGACCGTTATCTTAGGCTAAATACTGTCGCCTCGTATCGTGCAGCGCTGGTGGAGGCGCTTCAGCTTGCTTTCGGTGTTGATGTTACTTCTGCCCCATTCCGCAAACTGTCTTGTGCGTTGTTTCACCTCCGGCCTGCTTGTGCGCCTCCTGAGCCGTCCTGGTCTTTGTACTGGGTGCTCTCGTTTCTCTCTTCTCCTCAGTTTGTTGTGGCCCCTTCTGTTCAGGATTGTTTTTCTAAGGCACTTTCCTGTTGGCATTGGCCTCTGGGGGGTCGGGATAGAGAGCTTCATGCTCTTCTCCGGCACAGGGGTTTCTGCTCTTTCGGTCCTGGTGGTTGTTTTGTTCGGTTGCAGTCATCTCCTTCTTTTCGGGCGAAGAATGAGAAAGCTGCGTTTCGGAGGGGACTTTGGGGGTGTTGATGCTTGGTGCATCATGTGTTGTGTCCAGTTGTGGCTCTCCGCCGTTATTTGCACGCCACAGCTTCGGTGGCCAGGGATGCGCTTTCGGTTGACCCGGTTTCCCTGCTTGCCTATTCCCGGGCTTGGGTCTCGCAGGTCGTCCTCAGGGTTATTAAGTCTAACCTGCCTGCATTCTATCCCCATGCCCACGACGTGCATAAGTTTACTGCTTTGGCTGCCGTCTTTGGCAACATGTCTTGGATTGACATTCGGGCACGGAGATTTTGGAGGTCGAGCAGGGTCCTGGCAGCTTGATACCTGGTGAATGTCCTTGGGCCTGGTCGGGCCTGTGTTGCATTGGGTCGGCGGTTGCAGCCAGTTCTCGACTTAGCGTTGAGGAGTGAGGAAGGACCGCCTCCCGGGTAAGTCCCTGTTTCTCCTTATCATTTAGTAGTTAGCCCCGGGGAACCAACAGAGGTTTCCCCAGAAAACCAGCATTGAATGTAATGAAACTCCATTTTCTGGGTGAGTCCCAGAGGTTCCCCGGCATCCCTCCCACCCTCCAGTCGGTGGTGTTTTTCGTGTTTTTTGACATCCTGCCTAAGAACTGTAGGTTGGGTCGCTGGCGCGAGGGGTTTGGGGCTCCCCTTCCCCCTCCCGGGAAGGGGGGGGATTGCACAGACGGCGGCACAGCAACATGATGACATCATGCTCGTTTGCTAATTTTCGTTTGGGGAGTTCTCTCCACTCATTCGGCTTTCGGTAGCAATAGTTTCACCAGAATAGGGGTTTGTTTTGGGGCACCTACCTTTCTGGGTGCCTGTCCTTGTTGATGGCAGACATAGAATGCTCCCAACCACAGGGGAGGTTTCTATAGGCCATTGCTCCTCGTGCCTCTCTGAGGGGACCAGGTTCTGGCTCGTGGTCCCTGGTAGGCAAGAACTCCATGCACATTGACTGATGCCAGAAAGTTATACATAACCATTCAGCCTGGATAGCTCCGGGGAGCCTCTGGGACTCGCCCAGAAAATGGGACTCAACGCCCATTGAAAATGGGGTTTCTGCTCTTTCGGTCCTGGTGGTCATTACATTCAAAAAATGAGACTGCTGTTTTTTCCTTTTGTTGATGTTAGGTAGCTCCTGGGAGCCGGAGGAGATCCATACAGAAAAGCAGCGTTGAATGTAACGAAACGCCATTTTCTTGGTGAGCCCCAGGGCCCCCCTGGCACCCCTCCCTGCCTCCAGTTGGTGATTTTGTTTTTTGATGCTTTTCTGTTCGTTCTTTGGTTGCAGTTTCTTACCAAGTGTGATTTGTTTTGTTATGCCTACCTTTCTGGGTGCCTAACCCAGGTCGATGGCAGATGTGGAATGCTCTCAAACACGGGTTTCCATAGGCCATTGCTCCCTATGCCTCTATGAGGGGGGCCCAGGTTCTGGCTCGTGGTCCCCGGTAGGCAGAACTCCATTGACTGAAGCCCCAGACTATATAGCGTATATCAGTCCAATAGCTCCAGGAAGCCTCCAGCGAGCCTCCAGTGCTCACTCAGAAAATGCCGTTTCATTACATTCAATGCTGGCTTTTTGGCAGAAGTATGTGCAGGACAGTATTGCAAGGATGACAAGAATTTTGAATGATAATATTTATAATTTGGAGGAAAATAATCACAAGGAATGTGCACAGTAAAATCACATGAATGTAATATACTAGTACTGTACCTGAGAAAGTATTGAAGTCTTGTAATGGAATCCAGTCCCCCATCTCTGATCTCTGGACCATCATATGACTTAAATAATTTCTCACAAAGAATGTGTTTTGTAACAGTATTATATTCTTAAAGGTATGTCACGCTCTGTCCCGGGAAGAAAGAAGTCTTCATTGGAAAATGTCTCGGCTATGGACTTTGAATGGAAGCCTGCCACTACTCGAAAATCCCCGAAAACTAGGAGAGTTGGACGATCTGTGGTGAGTGGTAGTAGTCTGGCTTTGTGTGGAGACCTAATTTGTGTTCAATATTGAAGGACCTTATTTTGATTGTAATATGTGAATTAACTTGATGTATAAGGCAATTACCATTCTAGAATAATAAATATATGAAATACCCCGACTTACAAAGCAAACTTGCCTCTCTATAGTAATAAATATGTGAATTAACTTGACTTGTATAGCAAATTTACTTTTCTAGAGCTGTTATTTCTATTAATGCAGTACTGAGCTGGTGAAGAAGACCTCTGGTGACATTGAAGGTCACCCAATGCTGCTAAATTATATTAAGTTAATTATATGAAATGTCCTTCATTTTGTGCTGGTTCTTATTAAATACTCCTAGTGGAGTTAATTTTAATGTTTATTTTTGGAGGTAGCTCCATAGTTGCTTCCTGAAGCTATCTTACCGAGATTGCTCCATTCTAAAAAATCACATCAGTCATGGAAGTTCTATTCAGCCTACCGAGGACCAGGGGTCAGATTCACGAAGCAGTTAAGCAAGCACTTACGAACCTGTACATCTATTCTCAATTTTTGATGGTTTTGTTTACAATTACTAAACAGCTAATAAGCTCCGAAGCACCAGGAGGCTGTTTATACCAATAACAACAGTTGATTGGGAAGTTTTCATGCTTGTAAACTATTCAAGAAATTTAACCAAAGCTGTCAAAGATTGAGGAACGATGTACACGTTCGTAAGTACTTGCATAACCGCTTCGTAAATCTGGCCCCAGAACCAGATCCTATCCCCATCCCTCACTGAGGTGCAAAAAGCAGATCACAATCCTCCCCACTCCACCAGAAAAAGCCTCCCAAAAGTCATTGCATATTTACAGACAACTGGACGCGGTGTTTACAGTAAATGCTTGCGATACCCAGATTGTGCCTCTTTGATGGACCCTGAAGGGACCTGACAGCTGAGTGGACAGTGCTTGGGATTCGTAGTCTTAAGGTTCCGGGTTTGATCCATGGTGGAGGTGGAAACAAATGGGTATGGTGTCTTTCACCCTGATGCTCCTGTTCACCTAGCAGTAAATAGGTACCTGAAAGTTAGACAGCTGCTACAGGCTGCTTCCTGGGGGAATGTAACAAAAAGGAGGCCTGGTCAAGGACCGGGCCATGGGGACGCTAAGCTCTGAAATCATCTCAAGATAACCCAACCTCTCAAGATGACCCTTCTTCTTTTGAGATTGAGTCTTGCTCCCCTTCTTGGATATATTATGAGGTTCCAGAGTTTCCTTGGCTAGCAGACAATCCTTTGTTCTTGCTTGGTGCCTGACAACTTTTGTCATACCAGAGCACTTGAGTGGCATGAGGCGTTGACCATGTTGCAGGTGTTTCCTGTTTGTTCCGGTTCTGTCTTGGGACATGGGTCTCTTTCAGCTCCACGCCCAGGTGCCTTTGTTGTCAGTGGTGCTTGTGGCAAACAAGCACCACTTTGTGATATATTTGACTTGTAACCTAGATTGTCCATGTAATGTATCAATTATACAGTGTATGTATGTGATGTAACTATATAACCTGAGCTTGTAAAAGCACCTTAATCACTTTCAGTGGTTAAGTGCTTAATTACACACTAGTTTCTCTATCAGCTATCTCACCCTGTCAGAGTAAAAGAGACAAATGTATGTGTATATATGTATGCATATATGTATATGCGTGTGTATAAAGTATATGTGGAAGCAGATCAGAATTACATTTCACCTTTGTAAATGCACATTAATGACACTATGTTAAAGACACATCGAGCACTTTATGTAGGACGTACGTAAATCTGTGTATCTATGTATTTACGTATGTAGATTAGCTTAGCATTCTTAAAGCACTATACAATCACCTCTTGTGGTTGAATGTTCAATAAATTCCTGAACTATATGTTTAACACCTCTAACCCTGTCCATGAAGGACAGAAGAAAATGTATATATGCTGGTTAGCATTGTAAATGTGTGGCCACGTCTATGGTAGAAAATAATAATGATAAAAAAAAACACTTTGTGCCTCTTTGTATTTGATTTCCGTAAAGCAGTTTCTGCTTAACGCTTCAGTATGTAGCTTCTGCTTGAGCTACATACTGACTGGCTCTGTGAGGATGTTGAGTTTCTTTGGAAAGGGTTTTGGCCTCTGCTGTAGCTTTGTTGGCTGCTCTCCTCAAGCTGTATGTTCCTGTGCTCCACGAGGCGGTGCCCAGTCTTCCTTGCCTGATTCGTGCATTGGCAAACTGTGTTGGCCCTCTCTTTGGAAGACAGGGCCAACCCTAGTTGCCCTGGCTCTTGTCTGCCTCCCCTTTTTCTCCTCTACTCTTTCCCAAGGAAGTTGTGTCTCGGTTTCTTTCTTCGAGCAGCAGCTGCTTGTCATCCTATTTCGGAACTCCTTTGCTCTCAGGGGTCTCTTTCTCATCCTCAGAGGAAGTAGGGTCGAGTTGAGGCATCGTTTGTTGTGGGTCAACATAGGCCTTCTGTGGAACCAGATTCCGGGTCGCAAGTGCATCCCTTCACCGATCTTTTCCCGTCTGGTCGGTGCGATTTTTGCTCTTCACGGAAGGCACTAATTTCTTGGGGTCCATGCCGGTTCTTTCACAGTTCACCCCTATGACAGGACAGTGGGGTGCTTGACAGGGAGGGCAGCTTGCCCGGTTTGCCAGCTCCTGGCAAACCAGGAGCGACTGAGTGGTCTGTAGTGGAATTGGTCAGTTCCTACCCACTCCAGAGGTTCAGGTCTTTCTGGGCAGGATTTTTCCCATTGCCTCCGTCAGGTCATCTTGGAGTGGGTGGCTTCTGGCTTAGTTGAAATGAATGCATCATTTTTGTGCGCTTCCAACCTTTTTTTTTCTGAAATGGGGCTCGCCAGATCTTTGGTTCATCCACAACCTATTGAGGCTGAACTGGTTCATTCCTTGCCCTTGTTTTAGATGACCACCTTGTCTCTGGTTTGCTTTGTACTATAGGTGGATGCTTGTATGATCTTGTATTGTAACATCCCTATATATCTGTGGTTCATGGATTGGTTAGGTTGGTGGTGGTGCAGCAAACTTACCATGTTCAGGTTTTCTTGTTTGGTCTCAGTCTAGCTCCAGGCATATTTACTCACTTGGCCCGAGTTGTACTGGCTTATCTTTGGTAATTACCTAAGTGTAGTTGCAGGATGAGAGTTACAGGGTGTCCCATCTTCCCAGTACTCTTTGTCATATAACGCTTTGAAACTACAGATAGCCTCCACCACCACCTCACTTAGCTTGTTCCAACAGTCTACCCTTTGATTGCCAAAGAAAACTATCTTCTTGCGGTTGGAGGTTCTCGAGTCTTCCTAGCTGGCAGGCTGCCCATTCTTTTCGTTGGAGGCGTGGCATAGTTTTTGTTGGACCCGCACGCTTGAATGGCGAGAAACTTCTACCATTCTGCAGGTTTACCTGGGGGGGGGGGGGGTGAGTTTGAGCGCATTAATGCGTGCTTGTCCAATGTGCAAGACCGACTTCAGTCTTGCGCTTCTTTTCCCTTCTCAAGCTGATCTCGGATTGCTTTGAGGAGGATATGGAGGCGTTGAGTGCCGGGCCTTTGTCTGGTTCACTGGCCTCGGCTAGGGCGTTGGCCTCACTGTTGAAGCTGTTTGTGCAGATTCTCATGGAGGTGGTCTCTGTTCTTTGCTACTCGCCTCATGTGCCAGCACATTATGCTCGCTCTTTCTGTGGAATCCACTTAGGCCCTGGCTCTAAGGTTTTCATCACCGTTTTGCTGTTTGCAGAGACTGCTGTCACTCGGTTTCTGCAGACGGTTTCATCTAGTTGTCGTTCCTATGTTGGACTTGTTAGTTCTCTGGAGATGTCCGTTCTCAGGCTTCTCGGAAGGATTGTGCCAGGGCTTGGGGCTCTGCAGGTTGACGTAAACCATTGTGCCAGCTTCTGAGCTTGCGCTTCTTTTGGCGCTAGCGTCATCTGGTCGGCAAGAGGAGGCATTCGTGAACACATCAAGGAGGGCTTGGGTAAGCGCCACGGCACAGAACCCTGAAAAGCCCGAAGAGAAAGCCGGCGACACACCAGCAGATGCAAGGCCCCCTCGAGTTTCAAACGCAGCAATCGCGAATGCGGCGGAAAGGATGTCCCCAAAGGAACCAGAACAGCTGCCGAAACCAGATCCAACCCGACGGGTAGACCAGCTCGGCGCAGTTCAGTCTCCAGCACAGCTGCTCGAACAACCGACACGTGACCCAGGTGCCCTCCAAAATCAGCTGAAGGTAGGACTGCAGCTGCAGCAACACAGCAAGAGGGAGAGACAAGGAACCAGTTTGAGTCCCAAACAAGACCAGCCAGGTCCTAACCTGGGACAGAACCAAATGGGACTTCCTCCAGTTCACCAAGAACCCGAACCCAACGAGCTGGGAAAGAACCAAATCCCCAGCTAGGAGACATGTGGACTGGCTGGGAGCCTAGACCAGCCAGTCGTCAAGGTAACCCAGAACCCAAACCCCCTAATAGACGCAAACGGGTCACCACGACCCCGGTAAGGTGTGTGAACACGTGAGGTGCCAGATTTAAGCTGAAAGGAAGGCAACGAAAAAGGGAATTTTGTCGCCCCACCACGAAACCTAACCAGTCCCTGAACCCTAGATGAATGGGAACATGACAATATGTGTCCCTGAGGTCCAGGGACACCATCCAGGCACCCAGCTCCAACAGAAGCCGGACCTGAGACAGAGTGGTCATCTGAAAGGATGGGCATAGAATCCATGGGTTGAGACGGGCCAAGTCCAGACTGAACCACAGATCCACACAGTCCTGTTTCAACACTGGTAACAGGCAGGAAACCCACTTGAGGGACAGGGTCATTTCGATCATACCCAGGTGCACCCACTCTGAGATGACCTGATGGAGCGCAGGAGAAGAAGCTTGCCCAGCTAGCCCTGAACCCCCCGAAGGGGGAGCTGCTGCCGCCCAACGCCACCACAGGCCAGAGGAGATGACCGAAACGCCCACGTGGGATTGTGG